TGAAGAGAGACTTCACCTGAGCACAGCTACTTTGCAGGGCAGTGTGATCAAAGCTACTTGATTTCAAGAATGGTGACCTATTTTTTAAGGGTTGAAATGTGTCCTACCTGCACATTTTTAAAGACACAGACAAGGCTAGGACTAAAGGAAAACTACCGGAGGCCATTATACAGACCAGATGCTGGCACTGTTTCGTGAGACCTTTGTTTCTGCTGCACACAAAACGCCAAGGGTTTCACAGAGCTTCTGTCTTGTTACACACACACCACACATCATATACATCACACACCACACACACTCACCACATACACCACACACACACACACCACACACCACATATACATCACATACACACTAAATACACACACATACACCACACACCACACATCATATACATCACACAACACACACACTCACCACATATACCACACAAACACACATACACCACACACCACACACACACATACACCACACACCACACACCACACATCACATATACATCACATACACACCAAATACATACACATACACCACACACCACACACACACCGCATACACCACACACACACACACACACACACACACACACACACACACTGGGCAAGGGGAGGAGTGTATTTAACAACTGCCATGTTGAGGTACATCAGCCATTTTTATGGTTTATACATTACATCATCTTACATTTCAGCATCTACTTGTGGGTTTTTAGTCTTTGTTTGACTCTTTGTTTGAACAGGGTCAAGCTACATAGCCCAGGCTAGCCTGCTACTCACCATCCTCAGGCACCACCTCCAGCAGCTAGGATTGTAGGCAGGTGCCATCATGCCCAGAAACTCCAGGTGAAGTTTTGTTTTGGGTTTTGGGGGCTTTGAATTCTTTTATCTGTGAGTCACACTACTACACTGATGTTTGCATACATGCTTTGTGAATTTTCTCTTCTCTTAGAATCCCAGGGGCAGGAAATTGGATTAATTGTGACTCTTGCTTATGGTATCTTCTGATTTGTCATTATCCAACCAAGCTTTCCTGGTCCTTCTCTCTCAGAATTACTTTCTATAACCAGAACGTAGTTATTCTTTTCTCTCTTTTCTTTTTCCCAACACCCCTTTCTGTTGTCCTTGAATGAAAACACAGGTCAATTCATGCTTCTCTGGTTACTCATAGGAAATCAACAATCTTGCATGATTTTAAACCATGAGCTTGAAGACTTAGTTGAATTAACCATGAGGACTGCAGACCTTGGGACCACATAACATTGGGATTTCCCACTCACTTAGAGTGCGTTTTCTCTCCCTTTCCTAATCCAGCTCATGCTGAATAGGCTCTGTAGGTAGGGGACGGTGACTTTGTTTTCTTGTCCGCGTTCTTCCGCACACAGATCGCCAGCTGCTCTTTCTGACCCCTCCTGGAAGGAGAAGGGGCATGCAGAAGTGAGAGGCCCGAAAGGAAGAAAAAGTCGTACCCGTGACTATTTCATAAAATGGTTCTGTGTCCTCTGGGCCTAACAGGTATTTTAGCTGACACCACATATGTGTATGTGATATGTGTATGTGGTGTGTGTGGTATATGTGTTTGTGGTGTATGTATGTGTGTAATATGTGTATGTGGTGTGTGTGGTATATGTGTGTGTGGTGTATGTGTGTGTGATATGTGTATGTGGTGTGTGTGGTGTGGGGGGGTGGTATGTGG